GGGCGCGGTCGCGCGTGGCCGGGCACCCGCCCCAGCTCGCCCGGGGAGCCGTCTGTGTGAGGCCCAGCCCCGCACCTTGGCGGTGAAGGCCCTGTCCTGGGCACTTTCCCGGATGTGGTCGCGCAGCAGGGCCATAGCGGTCTTGTTCTGCTCCAGCTTCTCCTTCATCCCTTGGATCTGGAGCGTCTGGCATTGCTCTGGGGGTGGCCGCGGGAAGAGGGGTCAGCTGAGGGCCAGGCCCGGGCGAGAGGCCGTGTGCGGGGGGACGCTGCGCTGGTGCCCGGGCTCCCCCCGCGGGGGCGCGGGCTGCCCCGCTCAGGCCATCCGCCGAGGCCAGGGCCAGCAGGGCACCTTCGTCCCTTCCAGAGGCCGAGCACAGATTTCCCTGAAGCCCCCTCCCTCCCCCATCTCCCCTCGTGTCGTGGGGAGGGAGGGGTACGGGGGGGGGCAATGTGGCCATTGCCCTGCGGGGCTTTGTATTAAAACAACAGAAACTTCTGTGGGTGAAGGTCAGTGCCCGAGTGCTTGCCTAGTACCCTCCAGGTACTACCCCCCACAAAGCAAACCCAACCCAAAGTGAGATCTGCCCCTCCCACACACATGGGGGGGGGGAAACGCAGTTTGGTAAAAATAAACCTCTCCCTGCCTGAATACCATATGGTGTTCTCCTTATGGGCCACCTGTACACCTACCTATTTCAGGTACCTAATGCCCCAGACACCCCCGACTGCTAGGTGGGCCAGCCCAGGGTGTGGCTCACCCTGGAGCCGAGTGATGGTCCTCAGCTCCTGAATTTCTCCCTCCACCTCTGCCTCTTCATGCAACTTCATGGTGGCCCTGGGGGTTCCTCAGGGCTCTGTGCACCTTCTCCTTCTCAGTGTGTTGCTTGTTCACAGAGCTGACATTCAGATTGTGTCTGGAACCTGGGCCCATTGTGACGGGAGACAGTGTTCTGAATGCCTTGCCCAGGGGACCTTGGAACCTTAGCTGCCCACCGCAGTGACTCTCGCCTGGATGCTGTCATGGAAATGAATTCTGTGGTGGCTGCTTGCTGCCCAGGAACCCTGCTGGTTTTCAGGAGCCTCTTGGCAGTGGTGGGTGACTTGGAGTGGTTTGGCACACCACTCCACACCTACACCCTGTTCCTCTCTGACCCCCTTGTCCCTAGGCCCACAGAGCTGCTCCCAAGCTTATTACACCTGTCATCACCAGGCAGGACCATTGTGCCACAGCCACGTCCTGAAAGCCCTGCCCGAGACAACCCATTGGGCACCTCCCACCTCTGCCCCTCACTCTTCCCTTTCTGACCTGTGCTGC